GAATTTGATACACACACACACACACTTTGTGTGAAGTTCTATACAGCGAATTTGACAACACACACACACACACACACACACACACACACACACACACACACACACACACACTGTGGCATACTGCGTACCCACACGGGCCTGCAGGGCCCGTCCCGCATTCTCAGCCTAAAAGCCTAGAAATAAGGGCTTACAGGCCCCATGTCGTTTCAGCCTGAAAACTGAAAACGAGGGCCTGCAGGCCCTATTTCGTTTTCAGCCTAAAACAGGGCTTTTCAGCCCTGAGTCTTTTCAGCCTGAAACGGAGGGCCACTTTCGGGCCCTCATAAGATCGTCCTGCCCTAGAATTCAGGCAACAAACCAGGGTTTTGGGAACAGGCTATTTTTGGCCTGTTCCCCACGCCAGCCTCAGCAGGAGCTGCAGCGCCAGCCCCTGGCTTGCCCTGGCATTGGCAAGAGCAGCCTCCTGGACTGCCTCGCCCTGCAGTCAGGAGGCAGGCCGAGTAGTACATAGGGAGTTCCCATGCACTTCACGGGTAGGTAGTTGGACAGAAGGCAAGAGGCAGTCTTCAGGATTCGGCAGCAGCACTCAGGAGGAGCGCTAGCAGTAGTCTTCAGCGCTGGGCGCTAGTAGCTGTAGGAGTAGTCTTCAGCACAGGGCGCTAAGTAGTGGTAGTGGTAGTAGTGTTGGAGAGAGATGGCTGGCGGAGGCCAGTGAGACTTACCTGTGGCACCATAGCTCCAGCTTCATCTTCAGGGTACCTGCATCAAGGCGCCAGCTTCACAGGTTAGTACCGGACTGAGAGAGAGAGAGAGAGAGTTCTTCTTCTTCCTCTTCTAAGTCCACCATCTCTTCTTCACCCTCTCCCTATCTGACTTCTCAGTATCTGCAGACTACGACAGAGAGAGAGAGAGTTGTGACGAGACTTGACGACATTGGATCCAGACTCGACATTGGGATTCAGACATTTTGACGAGGGACTATTTGGGCCTGTGCCGAAGACTTGGTGTTGACGACATTCCCATCTTCCCCTCTTCTTCGTCTAACCCCCCTCTTCTTCGTCTGTGTATGGGTGGGGCTGGCGCATTCTTCCTGTGTGAGCGCCAGACCCCTTCACACCATGTAGTGATGATCATGATGTATGTTCGGGGCTGCATTGCAATATTGATTGTTCGGATCATTGGTATCTAAGTCTTCCGCTACGCTATCTTGTACTTTGTGAGAGAGGTCGGTTCTTGTTCTGGTCTGCACTGTTACAGTATGCAACAGTTTGGTATCGGAGCGGACCTCAGAGGACCCGCTCAATCAAGTAGCCAGCTTGCTTGATCTATTGATTACTCATTAGTAAATCAAGTAGGACTTCGTCAAATCTCTGAAAAAAAAATTCTTGCAACAAATATCTGAAAATTTCTGATAATCGCATTTCATTTTACCTGAAAATTTATGATATTAGTATTTCGTTTCCATGCAACAAATATCTGAAATTTCTGACAATCGCGTTTCGTTTTATCTGAAAATTCCTGATAGTAGCATTTCGTTTCTCTGATATTCGGTTACATAGCCGAAATTTCTAATGTTAACATTTCGTTTTCTAGGCATATTAGGATAACGATAGAAGTGGTCATATTCTCTGAAGCTGGATTTATTCTTTTCTGAAAATCGAATCTCCATTCTATCTGGGCATGCCAGGCCAACTGGCCAACGAGTCCATTGCCGAGTACAAACAGCGGTTCCAGACTCAGCTCGCACTGATCGAGGCTGAGGAACAGCGCCAGGTGGCAGCCGAGGCTGTCCGCCTACAGGCTGAAGCGGCGGCAACAGCTGAGAAGCAGCGGCTTCAGGCCGAAGCAGACACAGATACCCAGGCACGCCGCAAGGAAGCCCAGGATCTGCTACAGCGGCATGAAGCCACCAGCATCGAAAAGCTCAAGTTTTGGCACTTTGAACCATCCGAGGAGCACGACGACGCGACACTGGAGGAGCAGCACAAGGAATTCATGGACAAACTCGTGACTAGGTTGGTTTACACTTGTAGCCACCTGCAGTCCGAGTTGGCGAACCTCCAGCAGGCCGTACGGAATCACAAGGCTCAGCACGAGGATGCAGCACGGGCACTTGATTCCCGTGTACAGGACTTGGAGCAAACTGCACCAAGACCGGAGGCTGGCGAGTCCAGCAGTGCACCCTCTGCCCGCCAACTGGAGGAACGAGTTGACCACGTAGTCGCAATGCTCGGCGACATCAGTACCTTCGCTGCACCAGCCACCATCAGCAACCAGTTGGACACCTTGGAGACCGAGGTTCAGCAACTGCAGCTGCCTAACAAAGATGGCAACACCACGCAGCATTACAAGATGCCAACATTCCAAATCGAGAAGTTCGATGATTATACGCATCAAGACCCGGTCCTCTGGTGGGAGGGCTTTACAATGCAACTTCGGATTCTGTTCGTCGCCAAGCACCCGTACATCGGCGCGCTGTTCCTCAACTCAAAGGGCGGATGCCAGATCTGGTTGAGCCACCTGGCAACCGTCCACGGCGTCGACGTCGCAGATCTGAAAGATAAGATCTCTTGGGAAGAGTTAACACGGCTATGGAAGAAGCGGTTCATCGTGGACGATGCCCTGGCGCTCGCCATCAACCACCTCTTCGCTATGACGCAAGGCAACACATCGACACGTTGTCGGACAGCGGCGAGACGGCGTGACGGTCCAGCCCCATGGAGATCGAATCATGGCTTTTGGGCTGAACCGCCGCGTCTGCGAGGGCCAGATTAGTAGGGCCCGGTCCAAACGGTACTAAAAACGGACCAAGGGTTAGTGAGAAAAATAGAATTGACCACTTGGGACCGGACTCACCGTGTCGGGGAGAGTACGGCCCGAAATGGTCAAGGGGGAATACGAGATTGGGCCCCTTATTAGCGATAAGGGGGGTGTTTTGCTTTCGAGGGCAAGGCCGACCCTTAGTATTCCAAAGTCGGGCCACTTGTAGCCCGACACTAATTTTAGTGCCAGTCTGTGTTATTTTTAGCGTAGGGCACGCTATTTTTAGCGCAGGCCTGAGTTATTTTTAGCGCAGGCTAAATATAGCACAGGCCCGCGCTATTTCTATCCCAAGCCCCGTGCTAATTTTAGCGCAGCCCCACGCTAATTTTAGCACAGACCCGCGCTATATTTAGCGCAGGCCCGTGCTATTTATAACTCGGGACTAACTGTTCGTGTCCCAAAGTCGGGACTGTCCCAATCCCGTGCTAATTT